TGTTATGTGTTATGCGATATACACAGAGATTATAAGGTAACTCAAAACTTAACCTCAAATGGGCAACCAAAAGCTAAGGGTGCATTCATAAAGTCAAATGTTTACCTAGCCAATCATAAAGTGCCTGTAAAATAACAGCAATAACTGATTGCTATAGTATTTTAACTAAATATAATACCATTCCAATTGAGGATAATTGCATATTTCCGATAGGCAGTAAATGGTTTCTATTGCAACAACAGATGACCACCCCATTATATATAATAATTTATTAAAAATCAATGGTTTTGTTTGTGTAAACAGTGTTTAAAGCATAAATGAAAATTATGGAAAATTTTGTTTGTCATAAGTTTTATAATTTTATTAAATAGAACAACAAAATATCGATTTAACAAGGTTTTGTTTGTAACAGTCCACGCGAAGCAAAGAGAACTCGCAGTAGAAAAGTAATAGCCGTAAATGTTATTTGGCACTTTTATCTTTTATACTGATGACAAACATATATTTCAAAGCAAATATTTTCTTTTGAAATAAAAAAACAATCATGCGCCACTTGTTAAATGACTCTCCTTGGTATCATTTTATCGTATCTGTTTCAAACATGATAATGCATTTTCTAAGAATTGATTTTCTTCACAAAAAAAAAAATAATTTTTCTGACTTTACTTTAAATTATCTTCTACCTTTTGCATTTCATATCATGTAAACACCTATAATGTCAATTTATTATGTTATTTACAAAAATATGAACTTATTTTTTGATAATAAAGCAAAGATAAATTAATATAAATGACAATTAACATGAATCTCTCCATACTTTCTGTCCATATTTAAAATTTTCTATGTAATAGTGAAATGCATATTAATGACATTTGATGTCTATTGCTGTTCTTAACATTCGACCACTAGCAACGAGGATTAGAAGACAGTCGAGTCCGTACGAGTCGACCGTCGCTCTATTTCTCACAATCAGAAGCTAAACACTAAATTGATAGACATTAGTAAATGTGCACTTTACTTCCATTTGAATTATATGTTATATTTCATTTATAATTGCAATATCGTACAGTGTTTAAAAGAAATTTTCTGTGGTGCCTAATACTATTTTGCAAAGGCTGACTACTGCATGAATATTTTTACAGTTAAATTCTGCACAATAAATAGAGTTTATCTATTTTATATACAATTCTTTTGATCAAAGTTTGCAGAAAAATTCACTTTCGCAAGCTTTATTACATAATTTTGTCTACTGAATAGAATTATGATGCATATTTTTTCACATTTCATTGTTTCTTTTTTTCTCTTATTCATTTTGATAACTTACTGTATTTGAAAAAATATATGATCTTTTTATAGACTGCTCCAGAAGTCAGTTAACTAAAATATATATATTTCACCTAAGATAGGTTTTGAAGAGTTCTGTATCATTATTCATGATTTGGTCACTTCCAATGAAGCAACTAAATTGGTTAACTGACTTTTGTGCCTAATATATATTAAATCTGTAATTCTTCACCTTTAGAGCTAGGATCACATTTGCAACTTTTGATCACACAAAAGATGCTCTTGTACAAGGTCTTCCAGAAAAGATACCACCAATTTAAATTACTGTAATTATGTTAATTATTACCCAAAAAGTATGCAACAAACACCAATCAATAGAGTAACTGTCCAAGTTTCATCTACCATCTGCATTCAAGTCTTTTTGTCTATTAACTCTAAAAGCACAGCACAGTACAGTACATGAAAATGGTGACTCTGCAACAGAGAAATGCATTCTGAAGTTCGCAAACTTGGAATCAGTCCTCAATGCACAACAAGAATGTTTGCCATACGTGGTGGATCTCTTTGAAATTGTCTGCAAAACTCATTTTGAAAAACAATGAGTAATTCTAACTTTGTGAACTGTAGAACACAAAACACCTTCTCTATTGCAGAGGTGCAATTTTTCTTTACTGCAATTCTAAAGACAGTAGACAAAAAGACGTTTGAATGTGGATGCGAGACAAAACTGGAATGGTTACTCTATTGATCGGTATACATACATTGCCGGATGAAATGCAAGCTTGGTAAAATACATTGCTCGTAATAGTGACCACCTATCTGGCATAATATTCAGGACCGACTTTTGTAGGTTGTGATATACAGATGGCATATCTTTGGCTGTGTACTGATGTTATTTTGAACTATATTCATCCAGTGGTTATTTTGTTGTTCATTTGTATCCAGCTATACATTTTGCTCTACCGTGTAAAAGTGTTAGCTTTTATAAAATTAACTTAAAATAATTATTTTACTATTGAAAAGATGAGCTATTCTAAGATAAAAATTACAGGCAGTCTTCAATTTTTAGACATTTGTCTTTTGAACAAATTGTTCTTTTTCACATGATACTTTGATACCCATAACTTGCATTTCGTATGCCCAAATATGCTTTTTTTTTTGTATCTTTTTCAGCTGACAAACAAATATCTTAAGCATTATAATAATACTTTCTATCATAAATTATAAAAAGAATTATCAGTGCTTTCTATACAAAATCTTTTATGAAAATTAATTTTTATTGCCTGTCTCATGTTTAATTTGTGATTTTAACATTTTAAATAATGTTTTAAGTTTAATCACTGCAAAAAGCAAAACTTTCCTAGCTTAATAAGAAACTCTATAGTTTTTGTTTTTAGTTTTCTAGGGACAAAACTCTGTTTACAACATACAACTCTATATAACTCTAGACAACTGCTTGACTTTCAACATTCGTACAAATATTTATGAATACATTATATAAGGACTTCATTTATATATAACTATAAATTTATAATATTAAGAATGTTCTGACAGACACACTATCATTAGTAAACCAATGTTATCCTGAAAAACATCAATTAATACAGTGGTACCTCAGGATACGAAATTAATCCGTTCCGAAACTGAGATGGTATGATGAAAATGTCGTAAGGTGAATCAACTTTTCCCATACGATTACATGTTAAACCAAATAATTCGTTCCAATGCGAAAAACATACTCAAATTAAAGCCAAGTAATACATTAAAAAAAAATAACTGTAGTAAGGAAAACAAATGAAAAATGCGAACTAATGTAACGTCGTATGGTGAGTTTTTGTTCGTATCGTGGAGCAAAAAGATGTTCGAATTTCATGTCGTATCCTGAAAATTTCGTATGCTGGGGCGTTCGTATCCTGAGGTACCACTGTATTAGCAATATCTTTGATTCTTGTTGAATTATCCACAAACTTCATTATAATAATGGAATTGTCAAGATTTCACAAGACATGGAATTCCTTGAGGCAGCCACAAAATGCATTTTGTAAACACTGCATTAAATTAAATTATCCAGTCACCATTAATCAGCAATAGGTTTTAAATATAAAGATTCTAGCAAAAAATCATTTAATAATTAATGAAAGAATTTAATAAAATAAAATGGAGAAGACACTGAGGCCGATGTTACATGTACATTTTCTTATCGCAAGCACTTTCGACGAAACGTACATGTAATGCCGACCTCAGTGTCTTCTCCATTTTATTTTATTATACAGTTTTTTGGCATGATAGTCATCCTATTGATCACAAAGTAGAATTTATATGAGTAACAGATTCTTACACCAAACAACACAATGAATACACTGAAGTTGTTGAATTTAATTTTAAATAAAAAAAAATCAGCTTTACACTTGATATATATTGGAATATTTATCAATTTTTTTACTTCTGCAGATATACGGAACAAAACAATAAAATACATATTTGTGAATTTGAAGATATTTGAGATTCAACACTAACATAAATATAACATTCCTACTTGAGTCTAATGGATGAGAAAAGTGATAAATTTCAGAAACATTTTTCTAGTGAGAGTAAAGCTGGCTTTCTTGTAGGCTTGGAGTCAGTGGTGCCTGATTGGCTTGTCACATGTCACCAATATACATGGGCAGCCAAAAAGTTCATGGAATTGTGGTATAGCACTGTAATGGTAGAACACACACAAATGTTTACTAATCACTTTCAAAGTAGGACCCTTTGGCCATTTATGCTATCAATCCTGCCATTGCTGGAAGCACTGTTGGAAGGCTTGAGGGTTCAGCCATTATATTTGATTTGATGTTCTCCATGGTTATGAAACGAGGGTGGTTTTTGCATCATGCTAATGCACTACTCACTGCTTGTCATGTAACAATTCCTTGTTGACAAGACATCCCATTATTGCCCAATTGCCATACTCAATGAATCTCACTCTAAGTGACCTTTGGCTGTTCTCTACGCTAAAAATGGGTTTCGAGGGGATGTATTTTTCAACCATGAACAACATCAAATCAAATGCGACAGCCAACTCCCAAATAGTTCAAAAGAAGCCTTCCAATTGTGCTTCTAACAATGGCAGGATCAAGGGTGTATGCACTGTACGATCATATTTTGAAGGTGATTAGGTAAGTTATCTTCATGTCCATTAAAGTGCTATTTCACAATTCCAATAACTTTATACTGCATGTATATTTATTTAAAGTTTCAATGTTATCTCAAGTCCATGGTAAATATATGTTCGAACTTAAGCATTTCTTATGAAGCATATTGAACTAGTAACAAGCACAGCTAGCTTGTTGTATCCCCAAGTTTATTCCTCACAAACTTCTCATTTGATTACCCAGTATAAAGTCAAATAAATTTGTCATATGGCAGTTTAGAAAAGGTTCATATTTTTTTCCTCTGCTATTTAAAAAATAGTTTTATATATTATATATTTAATTAATAAACTAAACTTTCAAGTCTACTGCAATGTAATTTGATGGTAGAAATTTATTAAGGGTAATTCTTTTCTCATTTATATACACATGATACATATATAATACATATTCAAAGGACAACACCTTCAAGTCCCAATATGAATTATATTAAATCATCAATTAGAGTTAAGAAAGACAAACACAAATGGGAAGGGAATAGACAAAAAATGGAGATAAACAGTAATCTGTTGAAGTACTTACACTGTCATCCAAATCAGAGGTGCTAGGTTCGTGCTGTCATGCAAGAGATCAAGACAGAGTGCCTTGTCAACATAGCATTCGAATAAATATGTATATACGGTATATATTTTATATTCATTATATGTACAGTATATACATCATTTTGCAAACCTGTTTATTCTTAAAAACACTTTAAGTCCCATTGTAAGAAATAAATATAATGAAAACAATAGGAGGTACTAAAAATATACATAGAAAGTAAAGGAAAAGCAAAGTAAGTAAATATCTTGGGTTCCGGGACATGGGACTGCAAGTACAATACTCAACTAAATCGATTTATTTATTTTCTGCAGGTTTTTTGGCTAGAATAATAAGCAAAAAGTAACGTTTAATGACTAAACAATATTTTGGGACTTAAAGGGTTGCCTTGATATATTCATAAAAACTTTAGGGGATCAAGAAGTGTATTAGAAAAAATGCTCGTTTTATGGATTTTAGGATATTGCGTGGCAATTTGATGCCGTGCCGTACTGCAGGCATCTAAATCTCTGGCATTCTGCATAAAAAACAATTAAAATTATTGCGAATCACATTACACATAATCGTTTTTAATTTTATGATAATTTAATTATTTTTAAAATTTTGAAACTTATATTAATTTTCAACTGTACATTTTTATAATGAAACAAATGCAGATATATTTATTACATTTATAAATTTGTCTGCATAATCATATAAAAAGAATTAACGAACCCATAGAGAAAATGTATCCTCCTAAAAAGTGATAAAGAGAAACTTTAAATTCGATAAAAAGCTTTTTAAAATGAATGTTTGTATGCATACGTACTGACGTCGTTCTAATTACTGAATCACATACCCTTCCTCGTTCTACAAGGTTGGTGATCATTATCATTATGTACACTCTCTGCTCCCAAATCATTCTCCAATAATCGTCAAACGTAGATGGCAGTGGACCCTGTGTACCTATGTATGCTCTAGATTTATTATAGCCCTGTAATAAAAAATGGTATTTAGGAAAAATCAATTTGACACTTTTTAAATTAATTGTAAATTACTCACGTCAATATAATTCGCATTTATGTAATCGGCGGATTTTTTCTGACCCGGTACCGACTTTAATATAACTCTACTGTGATCATCTGAAAGACACAAATATATCTTTTTTCAATTACAGGTATCGTTGGGCAAAGTTTACAATAAAAAATTTAACTGAACTGGCACACACAGGCAACAATGTTTACGTAACGATTTTTATTTTTATTTTCGATCATTTGAGAATATTCAGAAGAGAGATCGAGATCGACAGATTGTTGAATCATCTGAAAACAAAAAAGAAGTATTTTTAGTAATTAAAATTTACTTCTCTAAATGTAAATGTCCATTATTTCATGCTTTATTGGAGACCTTTAGAATACTTTCCTTAATTCCTAAATACAGGATGTCCCTAGTTTTATGGATTAATATTGGAAAAAAGAAACGTAAATACAGTATAGCGTCAATTATCCAAATCAATTGGAGACTAGGGTTGTTCGAAAAATCGATTTTTCGGATAACTGATTATGTACGAAAAAATATATTAACCTATCCCATGTTGAAATTTATTCAAATCCTGGCACATCCTTAAGTACTCTCTCATGGTCGCGCCAGTGCTGCCAGGTAAAACATGCACACCAAAAAAAAAAAAAAATAATATTGGAGTAGCCTAAGACATAGCCAAAGATTGCAGCACCACAGCACTAGCGGAAACTTAAATTTTCTGACTGTAAAGCTTTTGGTTAATTGACGTTTCGGTTGATCAATATTCAGATAATCAATGCTCTACTTTATAGTATTGTAACATGCAACATGCTAGGAGTTGTGCTGGTAATTGCATTTGCAATTCCTGCATATAGGACACTTGTCTTAGGTCCTTTCGAAGCATACACATAATCCTTGACATGCCTAAAGAAAAAATTTCAAAGATATGATGTCAGGCAATCAATAGAAATAAAGCCCTGGTGAGCTAGATCGTGCGGCAGTGGAGGTCTACAATACCACCACTCTGCAGCAGCACAGCCCTTTTAAGCTTACACACGTGAAACTCGTATCAACCAACATTCTCCAACACTTTTTATACATGTGCCTGAACAAATAAATTTTACAGAACAGTTTATAACTAGGGATGTTTAACATTTTGAAGTTTCAAGCCTTCCAGCTCATCATCATGGGTATAAATTATTAAAAAAAAAAAAAAAAACTGGTTAAAGTTTATCTTGGCAGCTCTAATGGTCGCGCTTCTGACTGTTCGTGCTCCTGACAAACTCGTCTCAGAACGGAGCCATTGGCAGGCCGTTGATTTTTTAACGTCACTAGTTATTAATTCATGGTAGTTCTTAAACAAAAGAAAAAAAAGGAAATGTCAACTAAAAATGTAGTTAACCTAACCTAACCAAAGTGCCATCATTGGGACTACCAAGGTAGACTTTAACCAAAAAACTTTGTAAACTGAAATTGAACACTATCAACTTTCAAATTCAAACTGTTTCAATGCATGATTAAATCATCTATTTACAACAGAATTGGCCTGAAACCAAGTTTGAAAGTCGGCAAATTGCATTTCCCATGCTTTCTTCTATGATTTGCATGATGAAGATGAGTCAAAAGACTAGAAAATTAAATATTCTGAAAATCCCCAATAAAGTAGAAAGTTGTTGATTTTAGTAGCATCTTATAAATTGAATATAATTAATCATTTTTCACTTACTTCGTATTCCCTCGAAAACCCAATATCTCCGTCAGCGTGAAGATCGGCAACATGTTTACACCATTGAGAAATAGGAATGGAAGCGTATTCTGAGTCCTCTAAAATTTATTATTTAGAAATTATAAATAAAAATTTAATTGAATTATATTAAGTAAACAAAAAAACTAACCGAAAGTTTCCGACAGTTGTGGCGATGCTCTGTTTCCGGGAGGATCGTCTAAATAATAATATGCCGCTTGAAAATATTTCCTATAAAACATATAAATAAAATTGATCAAAATCAATATTGCATGAAATTACGAAGAGTTTCGTATAATATTTTTAAAAATGGTTATTCAATGTTCATATAGAGCTAATGAATAAACTACTTATCTTACTATAGTGATTTTTGTTGTAATAAATGCTCATATTTACTTGAATCTAATGCATGCCAATATTTTTTTTAAACCCAAAACTGATTTTACTGGTAGATGCCACCTACACTGAACATATGAATATGGCATACACAATTCTGTGAAAATAATACTGATCAACATAAAGTACAAATGTATAAAAGGTAGGGAATAACAAGAAACCCAAAAAACAGTATGCAAAAGCTAGATAAAACCAAACAGCAGACACCGAGTATGAAGGGAAAGAATTATAAAAGGTTGTGCGAATTAAAGTGTATGACAGAGTAGTAAGTAAAATATGATTATCTTTAATAATAGCTGGACTATATCATTTACAATTCAACCAGGACACACTTCAGAATTGGCAGAAATGGGTCTAAAGTCAAAGGGGTCTAACTACAAAGTTCTTCGGTAGACTAACTCCACCTTATTTTAGTCAACTGCAGCTTTCTGCAATTACTTCAAACCACTCTAGTTATGTAAATACTTTACTAGTGTGTTTCTCGACTATATCATAGAGAAGTTTATGAAAAGAACTTTTCTGGAAGGTGTCACAAGACATACCTTATAAACTTTTTGCTGCAGCACATTAAACTCAAAACCATCACTTCAGATAATCTACTGTACTGTACATGCATTATCATTGTTGCCCTTATTTTTGAAAACCAAAAGGAGACAATGCTATTCACAAATGACGTGAAATATAATCATCTTAATACACACAAAGCAGAAATTTTATCTAAGATGGAAAACTTAATGATAAGCCATCTTATGACATTCAGAATGTTTCACAGTTACACAAGAAAGTGAAATAACAGGACCAAAAAATAATACTTCTAATCTGCAAAGGGGAAAAGTACCAATAGGAAAATAAGAGGCACATGTGAAAATGCCATTACTTGGCATTAACACTGTCTATCAATGTATAGTTTAAAGAAGATAGTCAATAGTATGGTAACTATACAAGTGTTAAGAAATTAGTGCAACAACATGAAATAGGTGATAGAGGGTTAATACAAACAATTTTGGTCCAATGATACAGAGGCTTGCTGTAGATCATTTACATGATATATGGTCCTAAACTTTTGGTAGTGGTTACTGTCCTGTGATGTACAAATACCATACAGAGAAGCCCAACATTACTATTATCATGAGATAATAGTAACGTTGGGCTTCTCTGTTCTAAATACAACCATAAAACTTTTTCTATGGTGGATATTCTGCAAGGACTTGTACAGTTTGATAGTGAGAGTGTAGAAACTGCTCACATAGGACAGACCAGATGTTAAAATGATTTATTCCAATGATGCAATAGATCTTGTGCCTATTGAAGGTTGTCGATCACGCGTCAAATCACCACTTGACTCTAGTGTCCGTTATCAAACGGTTACGCGGACAGACACCCGTTGAATGGGTTATATATATAGATTTTGTCTGACTATCACCTTTTTATTATTAACTGTACTTAAAATTTGATACTCAACTAAAACTGAGTCATCAATAAAGTAATAACAACTAACAACATTCTCCGTTGCAATTCTAATTATTACATTTCATTCGTTACACCACAAAACAAGGCACATGACGACAACAATGGGCTTTCCTACATGCATTCACACTTTGCCAGGCAGCAAAAAAACCAGTGGCGTACCGTAGTGGGGGCGGCAGGGGCAGCACTTTTTAGGGGGCGGCAAAATTTCACAATAAATAATAATAATATCTTGTAAAAATTTCAAACATCCTAATCTATACTTGCATCGCTCCTACGATAGTGCTATCGTCCGGACAGTCCGTGAAGTGACTCGCCGGGTGAACTAGTAACTTTTTCGTCCGAGGAATTCCTGCGAAACCTGTTAACCCTTTTTTTTTTGCTTGTATGATTCATTCGCATTCATATACACCACTAATATCCAATAGGACAATTTTAAACAGGTCGCTGCACTACCACCAAATTTTTCATAGCTTGTTCTGTGACAAAACTGAATTTTGATCTTTTAAATTGAAACACCTAAATAAGGGGGAAGAAATTTTCCTCTGCCCCGGATGGCTGACACCCACGGTACACTAGTGAAAAGAACTTTGGGAGCATGTATCTTTAAGAGAAGCTGCAGTAACCCCAATTCATAGGACCAAAACCACTCGTGTTGCCTTCCTCTACCATACTCTAATTTCTTAACACCCTGTATAGAAATAGAAATTTGCACGAGGATATTACAAAACACAAACTGTTGTCAGTACCTTGTGTTTCCATTGTTTAATACATCTGTCACTTCAAATTTTACATTTTAAATATGCAAATCGTTTAAGGAACGTTGGACAGGAGTCTCCCAGACTCCATTGTATCTATACAGAGCCATAGTTTTCGTTTTCTAAAGATCAAACACTTTTCGAAAAACAGGGTGCAAATACAGTAGTTGCATTTCCATCGTCATTTGTCCGCCATATTGTTTTGTAACAAAACGGAAGTAAACCAGTCCGACTGTATATAAAATAGAGATTAAAACTTCCTTTCGATTTACAGATCCACAATTATTTAAAATTTAAATGTATTTTCTTATTTTGACGACTACAACTAGTGTATTTCCGGTTTTATTACGAAACAATATGGCGGCCAAATGACGGTGAGCGTACAAAGTGAAAAGTTAACTCCCCATTCATCTAATCGTAATTTCAGTCGTGACGTTTTCCTTAAACCGGCCAATCGGCATCTTTCCGCTTACTGTGCATTGTCGTCATAACATTTGACGTCTTTTACACGTGATTGTACGGTTATTATTAATTCTTAACAATTTGATTTAATTACCATTATTTCTATACCAAACTAAGTATAATTCAGGTAATATTACTCTTATACTTGACGCTTGCAGTTATATTTTGTCCTTCGTCGCTTGCGATTCATGTCTTCTACCTCGAAAGTCGAAACAAGAGGGAATTTTCGGGTCTAAACAAAAGCAACGTGTTCAATCACGTGACTCACGTGATTTTGACGTAATATCCGGCAATCCCGATTAATTCGATTAGTCGCCAATATGTACAGAATTTACTTGTGTTTCCTGAGTGAACCCTCTTGATACACTTACTCTACGGTTAAAACTATAGGAATATGCTCCAGTATTTATAATAATACACACCATGTTTAGAGATACCGCACTTCCTATATGTTTGTCAGACTTATTTATGTACTTTTTTCTAAACTTTCAAGACTGATGTTTGGCTCTTTGTCCTACGTCACACTACGAATTCGCCGTGTCTAACCTTTGAGACTGGTGCCATTGTATGCAAATTGTTGTTAAACACACAAGTCGTTCTGAATGACGCGCGATAGCGATCGTTACGTCACCGTAGCTCACTGCCAACACGTGGGTTGCGGTTCCCCCACTGGATGACTCATTAATCAACCGGTTTTTACATGTGACGTATGGGTATTTAAGCGTTTTGGTTGTTTTAATCGACGTCGGTGGACCCGAAGGGATCGATTTTTTAAATTTCTTATGTAAGAAAAGTGGATTAATCAGATACACACGTAATTTTTGTCCAATCCTCTGTTAAATGGACAGATTTCTGGCACGTGTTCGGCTTATCGATGTGAACAAATTAAGTAAGTTAATTATTTTATATCTGACTCTTTTAAAGTCTTGACAGTACACGAACAGCTTCCTCATTCCAAATAAATAAGTTTGCTGTATTCTTATTCTGTATAATGTTTCTCCTTTGTACAAATCTTATCGTGAAAATTGAAATAGTGTAGTTAGAAAAGAAAATATAAATTTTCTTGGGAATAATTTTTCTTGAGGAATCAATATTGGGTAAGTTTCTAATGGATTATAATGATTGTGAGGAGTAATGTCATGTACACATTTAAATGTGCCCATGAATGAGGCGTGGTGAAGCTGTGGGAGCACGTTAGCGTGGATGCCCATCCGAGGTGATCCGAATCTGCCTCAACTCGTTCGCCGTGCAATGGATTGCCCTGGACGAGTCGAGTGTCGTTAGGCTGTCGAAGAGAATTCGTGCTCGGTGTGGTCACATTTTAGCAGAAGTTTGAAGGTCATTTTCTCTTGTGCCTAAATGGAGCCTCCGGTCTGCAGCCGCAGGCAAAACGAGGCATTACATATGTTGTCGTTGCGCTTTGTCTGCAAAAATATGTATCTGCCATAATAAAAGTCTTACTGTTTTCATCAGGTTGTAGACTTATTTCCATTCAGTGATGACTTTTATAATACTTCCAGACATTTCTGTTGTGATTACCTCAAGTCATGTCATTAATTGTTATTCAAAAGTAAGAATGGCAATTCTTCGTTCCTCCTATTAAACTGTATCCCCAATACACTTTTATATTGACTTTTATGGCTTAGTTATGTTTTCTTGTTTCACTTTCATTCCAACTGAGCAGATTTTGAAACTTTCATTTACAATGTTTCCAAGTCATGTTTGTATTTTGTTGATTGTTCGAATTACATTGCCAGGGAGCTGCTTTTTGGGCAATGCTGTGTAAGCATAGTTTAATTTTGGCTGGCAACTTTTCTATAAAAAAAAACTTGATTATTGTGTTTATTTTATCATGTAGATATGTTTATTGTCTTCTTCGTTGTTTGACATTGAATGGCCTAAATAATTAGAAATGATTCAACATTCTATTATTTTTCATTTGACTTTTATATGCTTCTTGGCATTTGTTTAGCTCTAGCTTCTATCTTTCTTCGCCCATTCATTTTCAATATGTTCTATAAGTAAGAACTCATTTCTTTTTTTAAAGTAGTATTAGTACCCTTTTACTGTTTATTGGTCAAATTGAATTTCATTCCATTTCTTAACAATTTATAGTAAGTATAATCTTGTTGGCATGTCTGGGACCAGTGTAATACCATGCATACTTATATTTAGGATTTTGTTATATAATATATATATATATTTCATTTGATTTTTTTACAAATTCAGACTCTAGCTTCTTCTTTGTTTTGACAGCCAACAATGATGCTCAGCCTTGACAATCCTTGATTGTACTGAATTACTGGGTAGTGGATTGGAGGATCCACTGTATTCATGTAAATATTGAATATTTCAATAAATAAATATTCAATATTTTTATAAATTTTAAATTTTTAAAAATTATTTGTGTGTTAATTAAATCTCCAACCAATTAAATTAAAATTAAATTGGTGACTCTGGCATTTTGTGTCACTTTGCAATGCCTTCCGAACGTATGTAAGATTCTTTATAAATTACATTGTACATTGTAATTTTCCTTTTCGTAAATTTATATTGAAATAATTGGGAAGAAAATATACAGGGTGTCTGTCCAAACAACAAAATGACAGATTACAGAAACTCATTTATTTTAGAAAAACAGATACATCCACACAGCATGCTCTAATTAATGAGCAAGCTCAAAAACATTTCCTGTCTTTAAAAAACCTTAATATGTGCACCACATGTTATAATATACTTGGAGAGAGATAACATTCTCTCTTAATATTGAGAGAATATTATAACATGTCTCAAGTGATGGTTCCGACTGCTTATTATGCAACCTCTTAACATTTTAATATCTAATGGGCATTTCATAAACTGGGTCCTTCACACGAAATAATAAAAAGAAGTAATGTTGGGGGGAGCAGGACAGAAACCAAATTGGTCCATCTTGCCAAATTCATCAATTAGGAAAAACTTCATTTTTGATATCATTTTTTAATCATAATATATATGGTATGATTGAAAAAATTCAAAGACTTGGTGTATAATGCCTTGCCTTGAACAGTTTAAAACACCAACACACAACCACCTTCAAAAGAATCTCTTTGGATGATGATATACTTTTACTAGTGCTTGTATGACTTCCAGAAGCACTGCCATAAGCCATTGCTGCAATGATGCTTTTATTTCATTTGATGATTCAAACATCAAAATGATCTCATGCCATTTATGATGTCATTTTGGTTCATCAAATGAAGCATCACAGGAGGTATTATGGGTGGTTGCAAAACATGGCTCAAGGCAGTGCTTTCGGAAGCCATACAAGCGTTGGCAAAAGTGTATCATCACCCAAGGAGGTTTTTTGAAGGTGGCTGTGTATTGATGTTTTAAGCTATTCAAGGCAAGGAACTTATATGCCAAATCCCTAAACTTTTGGATCCCATTATGTATAAACAAAGTGAAAATTCTAATTTTTCAAATACGTTGAGTGGATTATTCAATCAAAATGTCTGAATTTAAGAAAATTTGAATCATTAAACGAGACATCTTATATTTTAGTAATTAAAGACAATTTATCTGACAAATAAGAATATATATGACATTTTATATGTTTTCAATCTTGTCAGTTATGAAATAGGTAATCATTTACATAAATTAAGTATCAAAATGAAATTCTGATATTATTCTAACCCAATTAACCAGTTAACATAGCTTAAGAGCTTCTATTACTGTATTTACTCGCATATAAGACGAGGTTTATATTCATTTTTCATTGCTTCAAAAACCTAGGTTGGCCTATATGCACGAACGAAGGATTCTTTGCATTTTTGCAATAATTTCTGTGAACCGTTTATCCTTTATGCTATCATTATAGATCTAAAGTCTACTTATAGTGTGTATATCCAATGTAACCAATAAACAAAGAGGTGTGTGTCTTAATTTGTTTACAAATTAAGACACACGCCTCTTTGTTTATTGGTTTAATCCTAAATCCATCAATTAAAAACTGTATTGCATCTCATTAGTTTGCAGAAAATAGTTTCTCGTTATTTATAAAAACATTAATGAAATACAGGTCACTTAGCAATGATTATAAATGTGATTATTTTATATTAGTTAAATTGTTATTTTTAATAAATATTAGCACATTTTGAATCATTAAAAATAAATATTATCACAAAATATTATCAAATGCACATATTAAGGCAAACAACCATGTTTGCCTTAACACGTGCATTTGATAATATTTTGTGATTAAACGAAATAAAATTAGAACTGTACTAATAAATCTAATTTTCTTTATTTTGATCTCTAAGAATACACTTTGTCCTATACGTGAGATTGTCCTATACCCGAGTAAATACAGTACTTTAAAATTTTGTTGGTTTTTCTAACTAGAAACTATAAACTCTGTAAAGATACATTTTAACATACTTTATTCACATTAAATGAAATAAAAAAGAATAAAACTTAGTTTTGATGATGGTATTATTACTCTTAATCTTATCTAAGCTTTTATATATGATAAAATTAAATGAAAATGGGGGTGCTGTTGAGCAGTCTTGCTGCTGGCGACTCTTGTTTGAGATATTGCTATACTATTCTATTGTAAATTATAAAGTTTTTTTGACAATTTGTCACATTTTGTTGCTCTACTGTGTCGTTTTGTGTTACTACAAGCTTTATCTTCTTGGATATGTTTCCAAGTACTCCCCCTAAAGGGTTAAAGTATTTTTAGACAATTAAAATTTATCACCTACCTCCACAGAATGAACGAGATGATAGCTAATAATAATGCAAATGATGCACACATGACTCCTGCAACCATTCCGGCACTTACTGTCGTATCGGTATACGGAGATCCAGTAAAACCTTTAAGATTATTTTAATTGCAATTTCAAAGATAAAATATGGTTTATTTTCATATATAACAAAATATTTCATTAACGTACTTGGACATTTATTTTGAAGAACTACTTTTCTCGACGTCGAAAACTGTCCTTTATACGCCTTAGAATTCTCTATGATGCTATGAGTGACTCCTCTCACTTTGACTTCGTACAAAGTATTTGCAGTTAAATTGGGAATAAACATCTTAAAAAATATAATTATAAGCATATTTTAAGCATTTATTCAGGTGATAATGATAAGTGATGTAAGCTGATGTACAAAATTAAAGCAACAAACATAATACCCAAGTAAATTCACCACCACAAAATGTGAGTAGTCGAAATTTACATTGTCAATCCCTTGTGATGGAGGGCCATTTTTGACATTTACATTTGTGCATGTTGCTTTAATTTTGGACACGAGTATAAATTTAAAAGTAACGTACAGCATGGTCAATGCGATCTTCGGGAGCAGTCATTATTAGTTCCTGAAATTCCCAGGAATCTTCAGAACGATAGTACACGAGATAGTAATCGATATTCCTGTAGAACGTTTGAGGTCTTTCCCACTGTAGAAATAAGCTATCCAGAGACTGACAGGTGAGATTTACAATGTTGGGAGCACTTGGACCTGTTAAACACAGAAAAATTTGTATCTGAAAATGCAATTAAAAAAAAAGCAGTTAACATTAAACATGTTCCTTTCATGCATTCTGCAGCATAACAGAAGCACAGAATCCCATATGCACACATGAAGTTCATTGAGAGGTCACCCCATCCTTCAGACATCCCCAGAGGGAGAAGTTTAGAGGCATAATATCAGGATCATGGAAACCATGGTGCACCAAACTAATTCTAGGGAAAACTTAAATAGTCACTCTTCCCCATGCAATGTGTTAATTGCATTTTGGCAGTAATTTAAAATCTCAGTCTTGACACAGTTAGGGATTGCAATCCAGCAGTGTTTTTAATCCAGCTGGATTTTTGCTGGACCAACATCAATCCAGCTGGATCTAGCGCAGATCCAGCAGAAATGATGTGCGATGTTTTTTGGTGCAATAAAGTGTTATCTATCTATCTATCTATCTATCCATCCAAAATTTATGGTTTTTTTTTTAAAGAAATAAAACATTTTTTTTTAAATAGTTAAGAAACTTTTATTATTTAGACTGGTCACTATAAATCAGTAAAACTTCTCACACATTTACAGAGAAGCCCAACGTTACTATTATCATGAGATAATAGTAACGTTGGGCTTCTCTGTTCTAAATACAACCATAAAACTTTTTCTATGGTGGATTTAAATAATAACAAAGGTAATTCTACAAATTAATTTATATTAATATATTATATTATAATAATGTAAGGACGGATAATCAGTGGCTAAGTGGCTACCAGTCTTACCAGTTTTCTTATATAGGCTCTACATATCAGTTTGTAGTTATTTATAAGAAATTTAATTATTAGTATTAATAAAGTAGTAAGTAAGTAATTAGTAATAGTCTAGTAGTTAGTTATTATTATCACAATCATGAATTAGGTACATTCATATCATCAAATATCTAAGATACTGATAATCATTAATTTAATTAACTAACTAGGTAGTTTCAGTTTTTCACTAATTTTCTCAATAAAATTGCCTAGCCTAACTCACTAACCACTTATAGAATAAAAGTTAAAAACTCTTACTTAATAGAATTAGAGTATAAGTTAGAAAATATTAGTCTTGTCTTGAATAAAGTATTTTAAATAAAATTAAATCAATCACTTCTGTTATTTTTTTAACATTTCTAAAAGTAGGATCTTAAGAAACAAATGGTATTGATGGTGTTGTCTCCCAACCTACTGCTTAATGAACTGCATATATATCCCGCCCTATATAAGGCCTTTTCTGTCTCTATGCTAGTTGGTTTCAGTGTCATCAAATAATGATAAATCAAAGATAAGTTTTCACCTCTGACTCCCTCACTTTCATAAACAGCCATTTTCTTTTTTAATAATATATCATAATCCTTCTCAGTACTAGTTTCTTTCCGTTTCATGAAGATTTCTTTCTCACGCTTTAGTTGGATCTCTAATTCTTGTTCCAATGTGAAATTCAGGAAATCAGGGTTATCTGGATCATCGTTTTTCACCTCAGTAATATCCTCTGCCATTGCTGCTGGTTCCACTACATATGTATTTACACGATTCAGCATATTTTTCATCTCCTGGCGCATTACATTTTTTTCTGCATGTGAAAGACAAAGCTTTCTAACTTTTTGGTCATACTTCTTCGGGTTCTGTATGTAAATAAGCATCCCTGTGACCTCGGTAAGACGCCGTTCTCTGATTCTTTTGTGGAGTGCCTCAGAAAGGTTGGCACTCAAGATTGTGTCCTGGCATTTTAGTTTGTCTAAGACAAATTTCAGGGTTTTGTCAGCAGTTATTAAACTCGACTCTTCTGCAGAGAGCTTCTACTGCCAGTTTAAACTGCAATCGTTCCGTCAAGTGATTCATTGACGTCATAACCAACCGTAAATTAGAATTATGCACCAGGACTAGGATAGGAGTTACTTATTTTATTTTGCGCGAAGACACTTTATTTAGCGATAGCGGAAAGTCAACTGGCAATTAGATCAGCAGATGTAAAAGGGCAGGCGGTGCGGTGTAGAGAGGGGTTGTAGCACGTGCCGCACTGAACGGCAACGTCGCTCTCGCCGTTAAGCGATAGCACACGTAGCAAAGCGGCAAGGTCGACAACGTAGACTTTTGCACCATTATTTAGAAAGTTAATTGAGTATTTGCGGATCCGCAGCGCTGGATCCAGCACCTGGTGCTGGATCCAACAGGCTGAAAAATGTGCTGGATCCAGCTGGATTGCTGGATGAGGGATCCAGCAATTGCAATCCCTAGACATAGTCATCATATATAATGAAAAGGCTACATGAATATATAACTTCTACCTTATTTTAAAAACTATGAAACGTATAACCATCGAATTTATGTTGATTTAAAGAAACAGCATTTTATTTTGCAACAAAGTTTGTCGTTAAGCTACTTAGAAAGTTTTTCATGAACATCTTGCCGCCCAAAACGAGGCGATAATGTTCCCAAACTGTTGGTAATCCGAGTCTCCGTAGCCAGGAAATGAGGATTTCCTAATTCCTCAGATGAAGAGTGTTCATTTCCTGAGCACTGAGATCTCTAGATTTAATCCTGTGGAGCATTATGAAAAATGAAGTTTATAATTACAGAATATTTTATATGAATTTGATTTGAAATGCACAGAACATTAAAAGGAATTTATTTAGAATGCTTTTTGCCATTATACACATTAAAGGATTATTTGGTTGAATATAACAAGGTTTAAAATTACTTTTTAATAAAATTATTTTAATATAGGATCACCAATTTATGTTCTTTAATAAAAATTTGTTAAATATGCTGTCCTCGTATAGGGAATAAGTATCAATAATTCATGCTACTTCAAAATAAGTGAAGATGATAGCTAATAATACAGGTTTTTCTTTAAATCTAGAATGCTTCCAGAATTATATTTTTCTACCCAAGATACGAATTATTCCTGTGTTATACAAGGAGGAGTTCTGGTAGTATGTCACTAGGCAATCAGAGAATACTTTATTTTATAATTTGTTAATTATTCATAAAAATGCAATAGATCTTCCTTCCCCTGCTTGGCATCATCACTTCTCCCCTCATTTACTCAATCTCTTTGACCTTTCTTCCAACATTAGCATTCTGGGCCGTCATCTGTGCCAGATGACAGCCCATTAACCAGGTCAAAAACATTAGCATTTTCTAAACTTAACCCACCGTTAAAAATGTATTAATTAATTTAAATGTGGATTACGTAATGAAGAGTTTTCTGTATATTATGTTTTTGGTCTAAGGTTATTGAACACATCTCCAAAGACATGGTATACATGCTAGCATGAGTTACGCAGAGATCTTGCTTGTATTTTAGCAACTTTTTAAACCCGTAAGCTATATGCACGCTGCGGGTTATGTGCTCAAATACTGTAGACCTGGGTTAAGTCAATCGTGTCTCGACACCTAGTAGAACTTTTATCGTCCGGGTCAAAGTATTATCACAATTGCACGTAAACATTTCAGTAAATATAATAATCCCTAATGTCAATAAACTAGCATCTGTAAGTTTCCTGTTAAAGGAGAGCATTTTAAGAGGATGATGAACCTACTCAATAAGGACTTTAATAATTAAATAAAATACTTTAGTAAAATCCAAATTAAACGTTGGAAAAATAAGTTTTTTTTAATACCAATTTTCTAATATTAAAAGACATTAAGCACGACAAACTCTATTATTTTAGATGAGTTTTAGTTTGATTTTACATTAATAAAAGGCACTTAACTATTTAATGTCCGTCTTTTTATAGCCGGTTTGCCCGTTAATTTCTCGGGATCCTAACTGAGAAAATTCTGTTTTCGTCTTAGCATTATTATAGAAGCTATGGAAATAGTTTTTATCTGATTTAATAGAATATTTCCTTAATCATTTAGAGAAAATCAAGCTAGCTGCTATAGGAGCTAGCTACAGAACTATGACCACTAGCCCAGAAGATGCAATTATATAGGTTGTAGACGTAAAGTATTTAATATGTTTTAATTAATAAATATCTATATTTTGGTATGCATCAAATAGTGCATTGATGAAGCACAATGTACTAAAATGCACTTCGATATTCATCTAAGAGTTTGTCGGTGCAGAGACTAATGCACGTGACACTTGTTAGGCTGTGGACTTGGCAAGCTCCGACAAAGCAATATCGTCACCTCCACTCGTATTAACCCAAAGTTATTTTGACAACATAAGTCTATGAGTGCCAATGTGGTGTCATTTGCTTCCGTCATCTTGTCGGGTTGCCAGATGTTCCAGTAAAAGCTGGTTAACTCGTTTGCTGGTTCACTGGTTGTGGCCAAAACTGATGCATACCAGGAAACACTCTGATATGACAGTATATCGCCAGATATATCGCTCATTTTATGTAATTTTATAATTAAAGAGCTTTTAAAAATGTTACAAAATAAAATGGAACACAATTACTTAAAAGNAGCACAGAATCCCATATGCACACATGAAGTTCATTGAGAGGTCACCCCATCCTTCAGACATCCCCAGAGGGAGAAGTTTAGAGGCATAATATCAGGATCATGCTGTATTCATGTAAATATTGAATATTTCAATAAATAAATATTCAATATTTTTATAAATTTTAAATTTTTAAAAATTATTTGTGTGTTAATTAAATCTCCAACCAATTAAATTAAAATTAAATTGGTGACTCTGGCATTTTGTGTCACTTTGCAATGCCTTCCGAACGTATGTAAGATTCTTTATAAATTACATTGTACATTGTAATTTTCCTTTTCGTAAATTTATATTGAAATAATTGGGAAGAAAATATACAGGGTGTCTGTCCAAACAACAAAATGACAGATTACAGAAACTCATTTATTTTAGAAAAACAGATACATCCACACAGCATGCTCTAATTAATGAGCAAGCTCAAAAACATTTCCTGTCTTTAAAAAACCTTAATATGTGCACCACATGTTATAATATACTTGGAGAGAGATAACATTCTCTCTTAATATTGAGAGAATATTATAACATGTCTCAAGTGATGGTTCCGACTGCTTATTATGCAACCTCTTAACATTTTAATATCTAATGGGCATTTCATAAACTGGGTCCTTCACACGAAATAATAAAAAGAAGTAATGTTGGGGGGAGCAGGACAGAAACCAAATTGGTCCATCTTGCCAAATTCATCAATTAGGAAAAACTTCATTTTTGATATCATTTTTTAATCATAATATATATGGTATGATTGAAAAAATTCAAAGACTTGGTGTATAATGCCTTGCCTTGAACAGTTTAAAACACCGACACACAACCACCTTCAAAAGAATCTCTTTGGATGATGATATACTTTTACTAGTGCTTGTATGACTTCCAGAAGCACTGCCATAAGCCATTGCTGCAATGATGCTTTTATTTCATTTGATGATTCAAACATCAAAATGATCTCATGCCATTTATGATGTCATTTTGGTTCATCAAATGAAGCATCACAGGAGGTATTATGGGTGGTTGCAAAACATGGCTCAAGGCAGTGCTTTCGGAAGCCATACAAGCGTTGGCAAAAGTGTATCATCACCCAAGGAGGTTTTTTGAAGGTGGCTGTGTATTGATGTTTTAAGCTATTCAAGGCAAGGAACTTATATGCCAAATCCCTAAACTTTTGGATCCCATTATGTATAAACAAAGTGAAAATTCTAATTTTTCAAATACGTTGAGTGGATTATTCAATCAAAATGTCTGAATTTAAGAAAATTTGAATCATTAAACGAGACATCTTATATTTTAGTAATTAAAGACAATTTATCTGACAAATAAGAATATATATGACATTTTATATGTTTTCAATCTTGTCAGTTATGAAATAGGTAATCATTTACATAAATTAAGTATCAAAATGAAATTCTGATATTATTCTAACCCAATTAACCAGTTAACATAGCTTAAGAGCTTCTATTACTGTATTTACTCGCATATAAGACGAGGTTTATATTCATTTTTCATTGCTTCAAAAACCTAGGTTGGCCTATATGCACGAACGAAGGATTCTTTGCATTTTTGCAATAATTTCTGTGAACCGTTTATCCTTTATGCTATCATTATAGATCTAAAGTCTACTTATAGTGTGTATATCCAATGTAACCAATAAACAAAGAGGTGTGTGTCTTAATTTGTTTACAAATTAAGACACACGCCTCTTTGTTTATTGGTTTAATCCTAAATCCATCAATTAAAAACTGTATTGCATCTCATTAGTTTGCAGAAAATAGTTTCTCGTTATTTATAAAAACATTAATGAAATACAGGTCACTTAGCAATGATTATAAATGTGATTATTTTATATTAGTTAAATTGTTATTTTTAATAAATATTAGCACATTTTGAATCATTAAAAATAAATATTATCACAAAATATTATCAAATGCACATATTAAGGCAAACAACCATGTTTGCCTTAACACGTGCATTTGATAATATTTTGTGATTAAACGAAATAAAATTAGAACTGTACTAATAAATCTAATTTTCTTTATTTTGATCTCTAAGAATACACTTTGTCCTATACGTGAGATTGTCCTATACCCGAGTAAATACAGTACTTTAAAATTTTGTTGGTTTTTCTAACTAGAAACTATAAACTCTGTAAAGATACATTTTAACATACTTTATTCACATTAAATGAAATAAAAAAGAATAAAACTTAGTTTTGATGATGGTATTATTACTCTTAATCTTATCTAAGCTTTTATATATGATAAAATTAAATGAAAATGGGGGTGCTGTTGAGCAGTCTTGCTGCTGGCGACTCTTGTTTGAGATATTGCTATACTATTCTATTGTAAATTATAAAGTTTTTTTGACAATTTGTCACATTTTGTTGCTCTACTGTGTCGTTTTGTGTTACTACAAGCTTTATCTTCTTGGATATGTTTCCAAGTACTCCCCCTAAAGGGTTAAAGTATTTTTAGACAATTAAAATTTATCACCTACCTCCACAGAATGAACGAGATGATAGCTAATAATAATGCAAATGATGCACACATGACTCCTGCAACCATTCCGGCACTTACTGTCGTATCGGTATACGGAGATCCAGTAAAACCTTTAAGATTATTTTAATTGCAATTTCAAAGATAAAATATGGTTTATTTTCATATATAACAAAATATTTCATTAACGTACTTGGACATTTATTTTGAAGAACTACTTTTCTCGACGTCGAAAACTGTCCTTTATACGCCTTAGAATTCTCTATGATGCTATGAGTGACTCCTCTCACTTTGACTTCGTACAAAGTATTTGCAGTTAAATTGGGAATAAACATCTTAAAAAATATAATTATAAGCATATTTTAAGCATTTATTCAGGTGATAATGATAAGTGATGTAAGCTGATGTACAAAATTAAAGCAACAAACATAATACCCAAGTAAATTCACCACCACAAAATGTGAGTAGTCGAAATTTACATTGTCAATCCCTTGTGATGGAGGGCCATTTTTGACATTTACATTTGTGCATGTTGCTTTAATTTTGGACACGAGTATAAATTTAAAAGTAACGTACAGCATGGTCAATGCGATCTTCGGGAGCAGTCATTATTAGTTCCTGAAATTCCCAGGAATCTTCAGAACGATAGTACACGAGATAGTAATCGATATTCCTGTAGAACGTTTGAGGTCTTTCCCACTGTAGAAATAAGCTATCCAGAGACTGACAGGTGAGATTTACAATGTTGGGAGCACTTGGACCTGTTAAACACAGAAAAATTTGTATCTGAAAATGCAATTAAAAAAAAAGCAGTTAACATTAAACATGTTCCTTTCATGCATTCTGCAGCATAACAGAAGCACAGAATCCCATATGCACACATGAAGTTCATTGAGAGGTCACCCCATCCTTCAGACATCCCCAGAGGAAGAAGTTTAGAGGCATAATATCAGGATCATGGAAACCATGGTGCACCAAACTAATTCTAGGGAAAACTTAAATAGTCACTCTTCCCCATGCAATGTGTTAATTGCATTTTGGCAGTAATTTAAAATCTCAGTCTTGACACAGTTAGGGATTGCAATCCAGCAGTGTTTTTAATCCAGCTGGATTTTTGCTGGACCAACATCAATCCAGCTGGATCTAGCGCAGATCCAGCAGAAATGATGTGCGATGTTTTTTGGTGCAATAAAGTGTTATCTATCTATCTATCTATCTATCCATCCAAAATTTATGGTTTTTTTTTTAAAGAAATAAAACATTTTTTTTTAAATAGTTAAGAAACTTTTATTATTTAGACTGGTCACTATAAATCAGTAAAACTTCTCACACATTTAAGTAGTAAACTTTGGTTCGGTTTAACACTTGAGAAAGAGATAATTAACTTTCAATGTTTAGTTAGATTATAATTATAATGTAATATTTAAGTTAAATAATAACAAAGGTAATTCTACTAATTAATTTATATTAATATATTATATTATAATAATGTAAGGACGGATAATCAGTGGCTAAGTGGCTATCAGTCTTACCAGTTTTCTTATATAGGCTCTACATATCAGTCTGTAGTTATTTATAAGTAATTTAATTATTAGTGTTAGTAAAGTAGTGAGTAAGTAATTAGTAGTAGTCTAGTAGTTAGTTATTATTATCACAATCATGAATCACATACATTCATATCATCATATATCTAAGATACTGATACTCATTAATTTAATTAACTATTTAACTAACTAGGTAGTCTCAGTTTCTCACTAATTTTCACAATAAAATTGCCTAGCCTAGCCCACTAACCACTTATAGAATAAAAGTTAAAAACTCTTACTTAATAGAATTAGAGTAGAAGTTATAAAATATTAGTCTTGTCTTGAATAAAGTATTTTAAAGGATTAAATAAAATTAAATCAATCACTTCTGTTCTTTTTTTTTTTTTGACTTTTCTAAAAGTAGGATCTCAAGAAACAAATGGTATTGATGGTGTTGTCTCCCAACCTACTTCTTAATGAACTGCATATATATCCCACCCTATATAAGGCCTTTTCTGCCTCTATGCTAGTTGGTTTCAGTGTCATCAAATAATGATAAATCAAAGATAAGTTTTCACCTCTGACTCCCTCACTTTCATAAACAGCCATTTCCTTTTTTAATAACTTATCATAATCCTTCTCAGTACTAGTTTCTTTCCGTTTCATGAAGTTTTCTTTCTCACGCTTTAGTTGCATCTCTAATTCTTGTTCCAATGTGAAATTCAGGAAATCCGGGTTATCTGGATCATCGTTTTCCACCTCCGTAATATCCTCTGCCATTGCTGCTGGTTCCACTACATATGTATTTACACGATTCAGCATATTTTTCATCTCCTGGCGCATTACATTTTTTTCTGCATGTGAAAGACAAAGCTTTCTAACTTTTTGGTCATACTTCTTCGGGTTCTGTATGTAAATAATCATCCCTGTGACCTCGGTAAGACACCGTTCTCTGATTCTTTTGTGGAGTGCCTCAGAAAGGTTGGCACTCAAGATTGTGTCCTGGCATTTTAGTTTGTCTAAGACAAATTTCAGGGTTTTGTCAGCAGTTATTAAACTCGACTCTTCTGCAGAGAGCTTCTACTGCCAGTTTAAACTGCAATCGTTCCGTCAAGTGATTCATTGACGTCATAACCAACCGTAAATTAGAATTATGCACCAGGACTAGGATAGGAGTTACTTATTTTATTTTGCGCGAAGACACTTTATTTAGCGATAGCGGAAAGTCAACTGGCAATTACATCAGCAGATGTAAAAGGGCAGGCGGTGCGGTGTAGAGAGGGGTTGTAGCACGTGCCGCACTGAACGGCAACGTCGCTCTCGCCGTTAAGCGATAGCACACGTAGCAAAGCGGCAAGGTCGACAACGTAGACTTTTGCACCATTATTTAGAAAGTTAATTGAGTATTTGCGGATCCGCAGCGCTGGATCCAGCACCTGGTGCTGGATCCAACAGGCCGAAAAATGTGCTGGATCCAGCTGGATTGCTGGATGAGGGATCCAGCAATTGCAATCCCTAGACATAGTCATCATATATAATGAAAAGGCTACATGAATATATAACTTCTACCTTATTTTAAAAACTATGAAACGTATAACCATCGAATTTATGTTGATTTAAAGAAACAGCATTTTATTTTGCAACAAAGTTTGTCGTTAAGCTACTTAGAAAGTTTTTCATGAACATCTTGCCGCCCAAAACGAGGCGATAATGTTCCCAAACTGTTGGTAATCCGAGTCTCCGTAGCCAGGAAATGAGGATTTCCTAATTCCTCAGATGAAGAGTGTTCATTTCCTGAGCACTGAGATCTCTAGATTTAATCCTGTGGAGCATTATGAAAAATGAAGTTTATAATTACAGAATATTTTATATGAATTTGATTTGAAATGCACAGAACATTAAAAGGAATTTATTTAGAATGCTTTTTGCCATTATACACATTAAAGGATTATTTGGTTGAATATAACAAGGTTTAAAATTACTTTTTAATAAAATTATTTTAATATAGGATCACCAATTTATGTTCTTTAATAAAAATTTGTTAAATATGCTGTCCTCGTATAGGGAATAAGTATCAATAATTCATGCTACTTCAAAATAAGTGAAGATGATAGCTAATAATACAGGTTTTTCTTTAAATCTAGAATGCTTCCAGAATTATATTTTTCTACCCAAGATACGAATTATTCCTGTGTTATACAAGGAGGAGTTCTGGTAGTATGTCACTAGGCAATCAGAGAATACTTTATTTTATAATTTGTTAATTATTCATAAAAATGCAATAGATCTTCCTTCCCCTGCTTGGCATCATCACTTCTCCCCTCATTTACTCAATCTCTTTGACCTTTCTTCCAACATTAGCATTCTGGGCCGTCATCTGTGCCAGATGACAGCCCATTAACCAGGTCAAAAACATTAGCATTTTCTAAACTTAACCCACCGTTAAAAATGTATTAATTAATTTAAATGTGGATTACGTAATGAAGAGTTTTCTGTATATTATGTTTTTGGTCTAAGGTTATTGAACACATCTCCAAAGACATGGTATACATGCTAGCATGAGTTACGCAGAGATCTTGCTTGTATTTTAGCAACTTTTTAAACCCGTAAGCTATATGCACGCTGCGGGTTATGTGCTCAAATACTGTAGACCTGGGTTAAGTCAATCGTGTCTCGACACCTAGTAGAACTTTTATCGTCCGGATCAAAGTATTATCACAATTGCACGTAAACATTTCAGTAAATATAATAATCCCTAATGTCAATAAACTAGCATCTGTAAGTTTCCTGTTAAAGGAGAGCATTTTAAGAGGATGATGAACCTACTCAATAAGGACTTTAATAATTAAATAAAATACTTTAGTAAAATCCAAATTAAACGTTGGAAAAATAAGTTTTTTTTAATACCAATTTTCTAATATTAAAAGACATTAAGCACGACAAACTCTATTATTTTAGATGAGTTTTAGTTTGATTTTACATTAATAAAAGGCACTTAACTATTTAATGTCCGTCTTTTTATAGCCGGTTTGCCCGTTAATTTCTCGGGATCCTAACTGAGAAAATTCTGTTTTCGTCCTAGCGTTATTATAGAAGCTATGGAAATAGTTTTTATCTGATTTAATAGAATATTTCCTTAATCATTTAGAGAAAATCAAGCTAGCTGCTATAGGAGCTAGCTACAGAACTATGACCACTAGCCCAGAAGATGCAATTATATAGGTTGTAGACGTAAAGTATTTAATATGTTTTAATTAATAAATATCTATATTTTGGTATGCATCAAATAGTGCATTGATGAAGCACAATGTACTAAAATGCACTTCGATATTCATCTAAGAGTTTGTCGGTGCAGAGACTAATGCACGTGACACTTGTTAGGCTGTGGACTTGGCAAGCTCCGACAAAGCAATATCGTCACCTCCACTCGTATTAACCCAAAGTTATTTTGACAACATAAGTCTATGAGTGCCAATGTGGTGTCATTTGCTTCCGTCATCTTGTCGGGTTGCCAGATGTTCCAGTAAAAGCTGGTTAACTCGTTTGCTGGTTCACTGGTTGTGGCCAAAACTGATGCATACCAGGAAACACTCTGATATGACAGTATATCGCCAGATATATCGCTCATTTTATGTAATTTTATAATTAAAGAGCTTTTAAAAATGTTACAAAATAAAATGGAACACAATTACTTAAAAGTATTTACTCTTAGCTGTCTATTTTATCGAATTTTAGATATTTAATGAATAATTTTAATACTTTATGCTGTAAATTTACAAATAATTATTATTTTATTTAATGTTTTTCAATATAATGCAATCTACTTATTACGTATACAGTACAAACATCTCAAAACCCTATATATATATAAGTAATAGGCCAAACAAATGCTGGGGTTGTGCATCCGCACAGTAAGTGAGAGTTGTGGCTTTGAGTCTTACAGAATATTCTAAATTATTTATAAATTATTAAGTTTAATAAGAGAGAGAGAGCCTAACGCCTGCCTCTAGTGACAAATTATTTAGATATTAATTTAAAATAATAGCGGAGAAGTAGCCAAATTTAATCTGTCGGTCATTTGGCTTATTACTAATCTGCTTACTGTAATTGTTTTAAGGCCAACGACGTTAAGCGTGTTAAACAATTAATGCTTAACATTTAAAGTACAGTCAAGATTGCATGTTGCTTGTTAATCGATAATGTGTATAACAATTGCACGTTACCTTCCAAATGTTGAGACTGACGAAACAAAAGGACGGCTTAAAAACGCTCATTTACTCAAAAGATTTGGCATATTCAATTGTATTTATGGTAAGTTTTGTACAAAGGAGCGGTCCAGAATTTCGGAAACCGAGTCTCTTGAGGAGAGAATCTGTCGAGTGTGCTTAAAGCATTGTAATTTGCATATCAAACGAGAATGATCTCATTTTGAAAAGAAGCAATAAAGTATTTGAATTGGATAGTAATTTGGTCATTTAAATGGTTAACTGGCTTTCGGTTCACCCTGTATTATCAGTATCAAGAACATCAAATAATATGTTAAAATACTGTTTGGGAGATAAATGGGTATTAAAATCGAAATTGAGTTTGTCTCGTTCTTAAACAAACCAAATCATTGAATTAAAATATGAGACGTTGCTTTGCCATGTCATTAATTATTATTTAGGCACATCGTCGAATGAGCTAATTTCATCTTCCTCATTCAATACTCATATATTATATTATATATCACTTAAAATTAAGGAGAATTCTAATGTGATGCAATATTTAACAAATTACATTCGACGCGGAAGAAAAACACCGTCGACTCGAATAAACGGTAAATTAGAGATTAAAATTTTTGTCTCTATTTAATCTCTTAAGCGCATTAATATAATTAGTTAAAATTAATGTCATTTGGTAGGGAAAAGTACCTTTCTGTCAAAATTTGACCCACTTGCTTAATGATTTGGTAGGAAGATTAACCTTTCTTAGGAGGATTATTGAGTGCCAAGTTTATATTTTTAATGAGAAATTCTATTATTTAAGAAATGTTTAATATTGTATTGTGTCATAAGCTAGAAGAAATGGGTTTTATTTAATTATTTGAAAGAGGAAATGCAGAGAAAGGGAATAAGGGAGAAGAATGGTAAAAAGTATGCAGTTTCTGATAAGAGGTAAAGGACAATGTAAGAAAAAAATGAAGGCGTGCAACAATGAAAATATAAGGGGTTTCCAAGCACACATCTATCTATTCTCGGGGCAGATCAACCTGTAAAAATGCCAGTTCTGTCCCGAGATTATTTGGCTTACTTGTTAAACAAACAGCAAAAAATTACAAGGAAGAAGTTAGCGCATTTCATATTATACGTTTCCTACAGGATATTATAATACACCATTTATTGGATAGGTAAAGACATGATTAGCAGAGTTTCAGAGTGTTGGAGACTGAGCACAAACCAGTCTTAAATCACATGCATTTCTTGGGGATTGTCGAGCGAAAACGTCCTAAGAAACAAGTGGTAAAGGGGAAAATTTACACATTTTTTAAAAACAGCCTAAAAAATTTGGTCATATCATCCTGTTTTGTGGAAAGAAATGCTCAAATATCTAAAACAAAAAGCTGAATTTTTTAAAAGAATTCCGAACATTGAACTTCTCCGAAACTCGTGCAATCGTCGTCATCCTTTGCGCATGCGCCGTTGTGAGCCTACGTTTCCTCCCGTTATGTGTCATATATCAGGGTTTTCACCTGAAGAAGAACCAAAAGGTTCGAAAACGTTAGTGAAACAAAGTAAAGCGATTTAAGCACCGT